GCTCGAGTGTTCTAATGGTCTTAGATCCTAGTCCTTGCATTTCTAGTTAGTCAACAGCGTAGCTCGTATAATTAAGATGCGTACCTTGTGTTTGATATATTGCTCCAGTGACTTTTGCTGTCTTGTTCACTGAAAAAGTATTGATATTCTGTTTCAGCTATGAAGTAGCAATTATAAAATTAGAAACACCCGTATTCATATTTTCAAATTAAAATTCATGGATCTTAGTACATCATTCATTCCTTCCGTATTATGAATTGGTTTGGTTTGCACAATGACAAGCACAAGGGTTTTGCATATGCTTTCACTTGCTAAATATCACGCAGTACAAAGGATTTTGATGGATGGTTGCAAGGATTGATTGATTGATGATGTTCAAGAAAAGCTTGCAATGAGAAATAACCATTTTGCTCCAAGTTTGCTTCTCCAAAACTATAAAACGTTGTAAACAAAGAGGCTGAGTAGGAGAAAGAAGGCATTGGTACAATGACCATTCTAGACATCACAACCTCGCTTTGTCTTTTCTTTCGACCTCATTCTTAAGGACACCATGTGTTCAACGTTGGATCATTTTGTAAAATCTCATGACAGTCTTTTAGTTAAAGATGGAAGAGTCATTATTACTGAAGCTTCTTCTTATGTATAGCGATTTGAACATCAACTTATTATTAGAAGGGCAAAGATCTACTCATAAACGATGCTTTGTGTTTTGGGATTGCCAAAGGAGGAATTTACTCATGCATTTAATTATTTCAAAACTTCTTGGGTCACTTGTATTTTCATTTCCTGAAATGGGTTGGATCTCCCTATATGGCTAGTTCTTGCTTGGGTCATAGAGAAAAGTGGATGTCCTAGAACTATCTATGTGTTCTGCGTTCGGCCCAACATGTGTCCGAGCCTCGAGATAGTTAATGGATTTTCAATGTTGGCTTGCATTCTAGTTGTCATTAAGGGCCTGGGAGGTGTCGAGGATTTTGTGAACTCGGTTTCCTCTCTACCGCATATTCTTCCCTTCACGTCCCTGTGGCTGCCATTCGGTTCCCTCTGACTATTCTCTTTTATCTGATTCAATTTCGGTTCTGTTTCAGATTAGTTTTTGTTCTTTCAGACAAGGCCACAAGTGTCCCAACCAATGCGTTCAAATAATATGATTCTAATATAATATTTATATGATTTTGAAGAGGGCTAAGCCCAAAGATATGGAAACAGGAAAAAAAAGAACCAACAAAACTTAAAAGTGTTGGGCTGTTTGCAGTCCAGTGGAATAAGCCCAATCATAATTAGATCCACAGGTCCCAGTCCTATCCTGTCCTAACCAGGACTGGAATAATATTAGGACGGGACACAGAATAGAAATCCCTTCCCATCCTTATTCATCAGGACGAGCAGCCTGTCCTAGTCCTTGTTTTGATATATGTTTTTGCTATTTGCAAGTCAATTATTATATAAAAAAAAACTGTTAAAGTATTATAAGAAATATTGACTTAGGATTTTGCAGTTTTCACCATCTACATTTGTCATTATTCCCTAGCTTACCTGCATTGAAATTAACTAACTAAAAAGACGACTCCTTCTTTAGCAGTTGATTTAAGTTAATCTTATCTTATGGATTCACTTGTATCTTCGACAAGTTCACTTGACAAACATACGTTTTTAATTATTTATTTAGAAAAGTATATTTAAAAAGAACACACACATGCTCATTTCCTTCCTACACATTCAATACCAACGGGATCAGATAACTGAAAGGTCAATCTCTCACAACGTAGCAAATCAAGATTCAAAATTTGTTGAGAGAGATATTTATATTTAGTGTCCGATAGTATCTCAAACAGAATTACCTCTAATAGAAAAATACCTATGCCTAAAAAAGAAAAATATTACCACAAATACTCTCTTTGTGCCCAAGCAATAATAACATCGAATTCACAACTACATGTTACATTAACGCCCAGAGGCATTACAGAAAAACAGGGTATTAGTGACGGAATAAAATTCCGTTGCTAATCCTTCACAAATTCCATCACAAAAATTAGCGACAGAATTTAGTGACAGAAAATTTTCGTCACTAAATTAGTAAAGGATTAGTGATGGAACTTTTATTCTGTCACTAACTTAGAGACGAATTAGTGACGGAATCTTATTTCGCCACTAACTTCTATCACAAGTCCATCACTAATTTCATCTTAAATGATTAGTGACGAAAAAATTCCGTCACTAATTTTTGTCACCAATCCGTCACTAACTCTCATTTTGTGACAGAAATTGGTGACGGAACTTTTCCGTTACTAATTTCCGTCGCAACACTAATCTGTGGCAAAAAAAAAATATAAATATATAACAATTATTTTTTAAAATTATTATTAAAATAAAAATATAATATATCATAATTTTTAAATAATATATTATAAAAAATTAAAAAATACAAATATTATAAAAGAAAATAAAAATAAAAATAAATAATATACTTATTATTTTGTTAAATATTTGAATAAAAATATAAATTATTAGAAATTTTTACTAAAATATAAAAATTAAATTCAAATAAATCATAATATGTTAAATTATATAATATATATTAAATTATGTATATAATATTTATTATATATATTTGTATTTGTTACTAGAAATATTATATATTTTTTTTTGTAAAAGAATTTCATAGGTGCTTCTCATCTCAACTGGCAAAGGCATCAGCACACACGCAGGAGGTCTCAGGTTCAAACCAGTTTGTGATGTGGCGATAACGTGGATAAGGCGATCACGTAGCAGCTTATAATGATAGACACGTGGCGATGATGTGGTGGCTCCTAATGATGGACACGTGGCGATGACGTGGATGCTATGATGACATGGCTACATGGGAGAGAGAAAGAGTTGAGGTTGCATATAATGATGGACACGTGGCGATGACATGGATGAAGATATGATGTGGCAACATGGGAGAGAGAGGAGTTGGTGAGGTGGCAGCCATTAATCACGTGGCGGCTCATAGTGATGGACATGTGGCGATGATGTGGTATTTTAAATTTACAAAATAAAAAAAATTTAGCTATAGATTAGTGATAGAAATTTCCGTCATCAATTTGTGACGGAATTTATTATTATGGAAATTTTCCGTCACAAATCCATTATTATTTTATGACAGAATTTTTGTGGGATATTCGTTACTAATTAGCGACGGATTAGTGACAGAAAATTTCCATCACTAATTTCCATCGCTGATCCATCAATAATCCGTCGCTAATTAGTGACGGAAGTTTGAATTTTGTCACTGATTATTTAGTAACAGTGGAATTAGTGACAGAAAAAATACCATCACTAATTCTGTCGCTAAATAAATTTCGTCACTAATCCATTGTTAATTCATCATTAAATTCCATTGCTAATTTGATGCTTTTTTTTATAGTGACGTAATACCATATAGTATACCTTATGGGTTGCTTTACGTTGATAAAGATCTCACTATCGTGTGAGTTACAAGTGAACAATTGATTTGGCCAGAAACAAAATAAAAAGGCATCTGTTTTTGTTGCATAATGACGCAGCCCCTATAACAAAAAGGGGTTTTGATGGCAAACAAAGAAAAAAACAAAAACACGAGAATGTAATTGACTAATTTGGTTATCTCATTATGGTTACTGAATAGGGAGAAAGGCATCTCGAAATATGAGAACTCTAAAATGATTGGTTGAAATGGCTTAATTCCCATGAAATATTTGGAAATTATTTTGAAGTTAATTCAATTTTTGTGAAATGACCTAATTGTCCTTGTTAAAATTAATTCACTATATGTCTTAGTTGTTGGCTAGGTTTGAACTTGGATTCTAGATGTCGCATGAGCACATTGCATGCCCTATCAAGGCAAGAGGCATTGGACAGTTAAATTAAACAAGCATTGTCATTTTGTTTCTCATAAGCACTTAAACAAAGTATTTTTACATAAGTTGAGTTAAAATTCTCTTAATGTATTTATCTTCTGAAAAGTTAATCCAAACACCATTAAGTCATTTTAGGGTTTAAATTGGGATTTGCCTATTTGGGTGGCAATATAATGTTTGTGTCTTTCCCTTATAAATATTGCGGCCTGGCTTCTATCGTGAACCCAAAGCATAGCAGCTAACATCCCCTTCATCCTCCTTTCAGTTCTATGTTTGGTAACATAAATGGCCAAACCATTTTCACCAAAAATAGAGTTCACTGTGAGGGAGCGCCAACCAGAACTGGTGGCTCCGGCCAAGCCTACACCTCATGTGGTTAAGCTACTCTCTAACATAGACGACCAAGAGCATCTAAGATGTCAAATTCCATTATTCTTCTTTTATCCTCACAAGCCTTCCATGGTAGGAAAGGACTCTGCTAAGCTCATAAAAAAGGCACTCGCTGAAACCCTAGTCTTTTACTATCCATTTGCAAGTTGACTTAGGGAGGGAACTGGTCGCAAACTTATGGTAGATTGTAACGAAGGAGTCATTTTCATTGAAGCTGATGCAGATGTTTGTCTTTACCAATTTGGTGGCCCTCTTAAACCTCCATTCCCTTGCTTTGAAGAGCTTCTTTATAATGTCCCTGGTTTGGAAGGAATCATTAATTGTCCCCTCTTACTCATTCAGTTCCTCTCATATATTTAGTCTTTTATTTCAAGCTTCATCATTTTTGTTTACTTCACAAGTCATTCTCAGAAAAAAGGGTATACTTATGCTGTCATTTTTGCTCTTATTAATGTTGGACCAGAATTATCCATACCATGAAAGGTTTGACCTCAAATGCCTCTAAGATGTGCTAATGTTGGTTATGTTTTTTTTCCCCCTTTAATTAAGGTTACACGTCTCAAGTGTGGTGGATTCATTTTCGCTCTTCGCTTAAACCACACTATGGGTGATCATCTTGGTCTTGTTCAATTGGTGAAGGCTTTAGCTGAGATAACACAAGGAGCTTGTGAGCCTTCAATCCATCTAGTTTAGTGTAGAGAGTTACTAAATGCGAGGGACCCACCTAGCATGACATGCCGCCACACTGAATATGATGAAGTGCCAAATAATGACAATGATGAAACAAGAAACGAAGACATGGTCTACGATTCTTTCTTCTTTGGTCCTAACCAGTTAAAGGCCATTCATCAATTGTTCCCTCATCACCACCATCGTCAAAACTCTGCCTTTGAAGTACTCACAGCATTCATCTGGCGTTGTCGTACCATAGCTTTACAGCTTGAACTAGATAGGGAGGTTCGCTTAATGTGCAATAATAATGTAAGGAGCAAAAAGTCGAACCCTTCATTGCTGCCACAGGCTTATTACGGCAACGCTTTCGTGTTCCCGGCCGTCGTCACCACCACTGGGAAGCTCTGCGGTAACCCTTATGGGTATGCCTTGGAGCTGGTCAAGAAATCAAAAGCTACGGCAACAATAGAGTACATACAATCTGTAGCAGATCTTATGGTTATGAGAGGACGGCCTAACCATATTTCCTCAAGGGCTTGGCAGGTATCAGATTTGACCCGTGTTGGTTTTAAAGACATAGATTTTGGTTGGGGTAAGGCAACGTATGGTGGACCAGCAATGCCTGGTGCTGGAGACTTCCATGGAGTAAGCTTCTTCGTTGCCCATGGGAATGCAAAAGGAGAAGAAGGCATTGTTGTACCAATTTTCCTGCCACGCAAATCTATGATGATATTTATCAAAGAGTTAGAGAACAACATGATAATTAGCAAACTTTGATAACTTACTAGATGGTGCTTTGTGCTTCACCTGGAGTTTAAAATGAGCCACTTTATGTATGCATTTGTTTGTGTGTACCCATGTTTGGGTTTGAGTGTTCATAAGCATGAAGTTATGGACATGAGTACCTTTTAGATCATTGTTGTTTTCGGGGTTGTATTTTTATAATGCAATATATGCATGAAATAATGTATTGCGATCCTTGCTAGATCAGAGTTTATCTTACAAAAGTCAGCACAAAAGGGAAGGAATGTATGGTAGCACCAATTTGCTTTCCAATCAAATTATGAAGATTGGAATGTTAGGGTGAATATACTATTGGTAGTAGTGTCCATATTTTTCCATGTCCATGAAGAGGCCGGTTTCAGATGCCCATTATGCCGTTTTTGAAAGGAGGACATCGGCTTGCTGGAGTATCCAGGAGCTGGGGGCCTCAGGATCCAGCACGCCCTTTTGTCAAGTAAAAGTAAAAACCTACCCTTGATCCATACTAGGAAAGGCGTGGTAATACTCCCTCCGGTACAAAATATAAGCTAATATTTGTTGAGAGGCTTGATTTTTTTTATAAGATAACATTTCAAATTTGTCTAACCATTTAATGAATATTTTCCAATTTTACCCCTAACATATGTATTTAATTTTTTTGATTATTGATGGCATTAATTATAGAAAGTGCTGGTTTACCAAGTATCAAAAGAGAGAAAGGTGTTTTGAACAAAGTGAATAGAGGAGAGGAGCTTCAATGAATATTTTCCAACCCCCTTGTTTTTCAAATTACATTTTGGTTGACTTTATTTCCCTCCACTAATTCAATTTATTCATGACACACTCTCTCTCATCCTTTGCCTCAATATATTCTCTTTCCTTCTTTTTTTATTTATTATTTTTTTACTTCTCTCATTAATAAGGGTATATTTAGAAAATATATATATATATATATATACCTTACACATTTATTGTTTTAAACTATTTTTAATTCATTTCGCGATAAACATAAATGAGCTAACTTTAGCTTATATTTTGAACCAGAGGGAGTAACTAATAAGTCATTCATGATAAAAACTTCTATGATACATTTTTTATTACAAATTTTATGTCAATAAAAGGATCAAACGGTTTGATAAGGGGATCATATGATATTGTTCTTTTGTTGGTAAATTGAAGGATTAGAGACTATTGCTTTCCAATCTCCCCAATTGCGCCCCAAGCTACTCCTCAATTTTGGGGCCCTTCCTAAATATTTTTTAGCTTCTTTTTATCATTAGATTTTAATTTCTTTTTTAGTACTCTAAATAATTTAATTTCTTTTTTTAAAAAAAGCTTTGTACTTTGGGATTGTCAAAGATGGAGTCTAATCATGCATTCATGATGAAACTTCTTGGGTTGGATCCTCCAGTATAGCCATTCCTTGTTGGGAGAATTACAATGAACTCCTAGGCAAGAAAAACAATTGAAAAACAAGTCCTAGAGGTTGTCGTTCTCACTATAAGACTTGTCATTATAGGATGTTGAGGTTGTTATTGGGATTTTTTTATAATTATTTCTCTTCTGTGAAACTTGATTGTAATTCCCCTTTTCTTGTTTGTGACATAGAGAAAAGAACGTAGAATGTTCTGCATTAATTAGGTCCAACATGTGTCCAAGCTTAAAGATAGTTAATGTCTTAAATGGCTCTAATGATATATTATGGACGGTGGCTTTGATCATATTAATGGGCTAAGAGGTGAAAGGGTTAGGACCTGGGAGGTGTAAAGGATTTTGTGAACTCAGCTTTCCTCTCTGCCTTATATGCCTCCCTTCGCCTGTGGCTGCCTTTCGGTTCCCTCTGACTATTCTCTTTTATGTGATTCAATTTCGGTTCTGTTTCTTCTAAGTTGTAGGACTGCATAGCATATCACATTTAATTATAATTACTACGACTGAACAATTATATTCCTTTACTGTTCTAGTCAGACGCGGTGAGTTTGCTCCTTTCTTTGATACAATATCATTTCATTTAAAACGTGTTGTAAATTGCTAAATCACGAGTATGGTAGGCAGCTAATTTGGTGTTGTAAATAGCTAATAAAAAGTGGTATATATCCTCAAATGGGGGCCTTTTACATTAATTTATTAAAATGTGGAATTTGCTAAAACATGTTGTCAATTGCTAAATGGGTATGATGAATAGCTAATGAAATGTAATAAATATCTTGAACAGAAGCTTTTTACATTAATTTCCTATGAGATTTACTAAAATGTGTTATTAATTGCTAAATGTGTACGGTGTATAGTTAATAAAGTATTGTCAATGGCTAATCAAATGTAGTACGTAATTAAATACCCTGAAGCATGGGCGAAACCATTCCGTGCTCATCGGAAAGACGACCATGGAATGTTTATTTTGGATCATTCAATTTGATTTTATTTGGATAGTCTAAATTCAAGTTAAATAATTTTTTAGTATTTTAAATAATCATTTGGTTTAATAAATATAGAATTTAAAATAAAGATAGTACAACAAGAGCACATGGCATTTAGTACAGTGATAAGCACATGGTGTTTATCTTATCACTATGATAAACACCAAATGAGAATCAGAAACATGAACCACTACTACAAATTGGGGAATACTTGACGCTAAATATTTGATGGTTATCACAAAAACCGTCAAATATAATCCGCAGGAAGAAAACTTGACGGTTTCTAATGAAACCGTCAATTTTAGTAGAAAAATAATTGACGGTTTCTTTGAAACCATCAAGTATTCCAAAATATACTTGACGGTTATAAACTCAAGTATATTTTAGGTAAACTTGACGGTTTAATAAGAAACCGTCAAGTTTAATAATACTTGACGGTTTTGCTTTAAAATCGTCAAATATTCTTTGAGAATACTTGACGGTTATTAATAGAAACCGTCAAATATTGTGTTTTAAAACCTGTCCCTTTCGCTGTTCAGTCTCTTCAATTTAAAATTTCTAGCGCCCCCTTCCGCTTCAGACTCTCCAAGCCGCCGTACCCACCTCTTTTTCGGCCGTTCCCTTTTGCTTTTTTTGCTCGTCCTCCATCATCGTCCCTCTCGGTGTCCTCCATTATCATTTTGGCATCCTCTTGCTTCGTCGTTGTCGTGCATTCTCCATATGTCATTTCGGCTTCAGGTTGGTAATCCTTCACTCGCTCCCTTATTTCCTTTAGTTCTTCCTTGAGAAATGATTGTAGTGGAAAGGGAATGATAAGATAATGCTAGGACCGTTCACCATGCACACACGGAAAATGGGTTTTCTATTTGGCCGAATGGGTTTTTTTTTTCTGTTCTTGATTCTAAATGGGTGTTTCGCATTTTGATCAGTTTTTGGGTTTAGGGTGTTTTAGTTTTTTGTTTTCGCCATAAAGTCTGGGGAATGCAATGCTAATGTTTCAATTTTTGTTTTTGTAATTGAAATTGACTATGTGCTGGTTTGGTTTTTTGCCATAAAGCCTGGGGAATGCTAAGTTATAAGCCATTATGCTATCGAATTTTTTTTTCAAATGGAATAGCACATTAGTAGTAGTAGAATATTTTTCAAACTAAAGTGAAAGTGAACTTTTGTTGAATTACTAGTTGCTAACAACTACTAGTTGTTAGCAAGTAGAATTAAAGAGGGATAAATGTGATCAATAGTGGCTCATGTGTTGACTTTCTATTTTTGTTTAATTCTCAATATCTTTGAGTCACTGATCACATTTTCCTCTAAATGATTCATCTTAGTCGGGGACCATGGGCAAGGAATGGATGTCCGCCAATCGTCTATCAAAAGAATATTGGGATGGGGTAGAAGATTTTATTAAGTTTGCGATTGAGCACGCCGATGATCGCAACAGGATTATTTGCCCCTGTCTTAAGTGTTGCCTTTTGAAGTGGGTTTCGCCATCCGATTGTGAGAGCCACTTAATTATCAATGGAATTGATCAAAGTTACAAGTGTTGGACAAAGCACGGAGAGACAAGAGATGTGAGTAATAGTAGTCGAGGGCATAGTGAAAGCTGTGGATCATCTAATCTTGACATGAGTACATGTGAAGCTGATCGTCTTGAGGAGATGACAATGCGATTGAACGGGAACTTGACGATTGTCCTGAAATGTTTGATAGATTGAAGTGTGATGCTGAGACACCTCTATATGAAGGTTGTACTGATTTCACAAAATTGTCTGCAGTGTTGAAACTGTATAATTTGAAAGCAAGAAATGGGTGGAGCGACACAAGCTTCACAGAACTGCTGTTGCTTGTTAAACAAATGCTACCGAAAGAAAATGAGCTTCCAAGTAAAACGTATGATGCAAAGCAAGTGTTGCGCTCTGTCGGCCTCAGCTATGAGAAGATACATGCTTGCCCCAATGATTGCATTTTGTTTAGGAAGGAGTATAAGTCACTAACTGAGTGTCCTAAGTGTAATGCATCACGCTACCAAGAGAATGGGAAGAGCCTGAAGAAGGCATTATGGTATTTTCCCATAGTGCCAAGATTCAGACGCTTGTATAGTAATGTAGAAGATGCGAGAAATTTAAGGTGGCATGCAGATGAAAGGGTTAAAGATGGCATGCTTCGCCATCCTGCTGATTCTCCAGAATGGAAGAAGTTTGATATTGAGTATCCTGAATTCGGGGAAGAAGATAGAAATCTACGCCTTGCATTAGCCACCGACGGATGAACCCTTATGGGATGCAAAGCAGCACCCATAGCACATGGCCAGTGATTTTGTTTATATATAACCTTCCTCCATGGCTATGCATGAAACGCAAGTATTCAATGATGTCTATGATAATCTCTGGGCCAAAGCAACCGGGAAATGACATAGATATATATCTAGCTCCATTAATTGAAGACTTGAAAGTATTGTGGGAGAATGGAGTTGATGTATATGATGCATATAAGGAAGAAACATTCAAGTTGAGAGCTATGTTATTTGGCACAATTAACGACTTTCCTGCGTATGGTAATCTCTCAGGGTATAGCATTAAAGGACAACTTGGTTGTCCC